ATTCCTTCTGGTATCAGAATGTTGCTGGGAGGCATTAATTTCCCATGGCCACTGACTCACAATATGGATTTATCTGATACTGCTGTAGGGAGATTATGCTTTTCTGCAGTGACGAAAAATAAAACTATTAGGGCTTTATACCAAAAAGAAATTGTTACTATTCCTTATATAATCCCATATTGGAACAGGTTAGTAGAGAATGTCCCTTGGAAATACGTTTGGTCTTTGCCTTTTAAATATATGCTTACCAATAAAGTGAGAGAAGTTACGTTTAAATTAATTCACAGATTCTACCCAGTAAAGTGTGTGCTTAAGCGGTATAAACCAGATATTGAATCTGATTGCTCTTTCTGTAAAAGGTCAGATGAAGATATTTGCCATTTATTTTGGAAATGCTCATACACAGAAAAATTTTGGTCAGATGTCCTTGAATTCATCCAAACCTTTTTTGTTACGGATTTCTCATTTTGCTTTAAAGATGTTTTCTTTGGTGTGGTTGACCTTAAGACGGACAAGGAAGGAAAGTATTTTATTATTAATCTTTTATTTCTACTCGCTAAATATCACATCCATAAATGTAAGTTCAGGGGCTCTAAACCCTTCTTTCCTGTGTTTGAGAGTGAAGTAAATGAATACTTGGACTCCATAAGATATTCAAAGAACTGTAAAGCTCTGAAGACGTTGCAGATATACTCAAAACTTGTGACATGTGTAAGTGAATGAAATTGGAACTCATAACTATATGGTATGCTATGAATTGGACTGCTTGTTGATTAGCCTTGCTGGACTTTGCAGACCCCTCTGGATATAATTTATTTATGTATGTACTTTATTTATTATTTATCTATTTATTTATGTATTTATTTATGTATGTATTTCAATGTGTTGTTTGTATTTGCAAATGCTGTCAATAAAAAAAAAAATAAAAAAAAAAAAAAATAAATAAAGTGGGTGAAACTTCCGGTGACGCGGCGGAAGTAGCATTCCAATGGTATTTTGTGTGTTAGTTAGCGAAGAGGCTAGCTGTTTTTCAGAGAATTATTTTACTATTTAAAGACGCAAATCTTTATGAGAGATGTCGTTACGGAGCTCAGGGACAACATGTGCTGTTCGCGGTTGTATGTATAACCGGACTAAACTAATTTTCAGTGGTTTAAACGTGATTGTTTTGAACAAAAGCTGAAAACGAAATCGGAGTGATCCTACCAACGACTGTAGTTTCCATCACCTCCCAAAAGACGACGAATCTTCCTGTGTACTTTTTTTTAAATTCTTTATATTCTATAAACTCTATCAGCATGTGATTGGCTGTTTGCTACTGATGTTACACCTAAACTCTGGATCAAAGCCTGTGTTGACAGAATACCAAATGTGCCAGTTAATGTATTCAAGTAGCACATTCATTTATAATTTTGAACTCCAAAGCACAATGACTAGTGTGTATTTTTTATTTTAATTGTTTGTCAGCTCGCACAACTGTCTGTCACCATGCCTTGATGAGTATTAATCATTAATAATGTTATTATAATACTGAATCAACTACTGCGGAGGGTAAAGGTACTGTTATTTTACCCTTTTGAATTTCGTTGAGGTTGTGTTCCCACATCGTTAGCTAGTTTGGATTGCTATAACTTGAATGACTGTCAACTCTTGAATGAGTGTCAAGCATGTCAAGTCCCGCTTTGTTTACTTCCAACCGGAAGTCGAGCTCACTTTTGACGCAAGGCCTCATGGGGCGTAGGAAACTTGTGGATTGGCCAAGCTTGATTAATTCAGGTGTCTCTGATTATTGTTGCCGTGACTACTGAGGTCAGGCACACCTGAACTAATCAATTTGTCCAATAATGGCAGACAGGAAACAAGGAGCTGGCTTAAGTTCAGGAAGTAGTGCAGCTGTGCATAAAGCCAATTCACCTGTTCACTGTTTCCTTAAAACATTTGTAGTTTGTAGGAGAGCTGTTTTTCACTCAAGTCGCCGTGAGGGCCTTATACAGTAGTAGAGCCTATGTAATGAAGATAGATTTGAATCGAAATCTTGGTCAAGGTGTCATGTCCCATTCTCCTCTGTTCTTCTTGATTTCGGAAATCTTAATTTTAGCCCCTCCTTAACTCCCCCCGAGAAGCAGCTTGAAGAAGTAGAAAATGATGCGTGAGCCGACTGACTTGGTCTTCTTCCATCGCGATCCATTGGGATGAAGGGACAGAGTAAATAAACGAAATTACAAATATAACTACTGCACCTAAACGTTATTCTTTTTATGAGGATGTAGAGGTGACGTTCTGCTACTATATTTGAGGTCTATTCGTGTCGTGATGTTGTTCAGTTCAAAGTAAATGCAGCCCAAAGTAAAGCTCTCCACTGGATTTCATGTTTCCTAGTCAAATGTCTCAATGTTTTTTTCTTTCTCTTCAAACTATATCAGGTGATGCAGTCCCTCAGGTTTGCGCTGCAGCCCCATGTGTTTAATATCTCTGTGGATTGGACCCTTCCAGATGGCATTACTGTTGTTGACACACTGTCTCAACCCATCAAAGTGTTCTTCCAGGGTCAAAGGGCACTCATTTACACACAACTTAAAGGAGAGGTGGGATAATTTAACGTGTTTCTTTAATAAGAATCAGAAACCAGTGAAGTAACTTGGAGAAATATTCACAGAATTGTTAATACAAGTACAAGCGGAAGAATCCATCTTTACGTATGTTATATTGTGTCCAAATGTATGAGGAAAGTTGTTTTATTAACATGTTAGTGTCTGTTGTTTTTTGTGTGTGAAACCTATCAATTAGCATTACAGTTAATTACATTTTTTGATGTGTCGGATCCACCAAAAAAACTGCAGATCCCTCATAATCATATGCCAATGACTTATTTAGTTTTCTTTCCTTAAAATGAATTGTATTGCTGTTTGATGGATGATGATGACGTTGATTACGCACCACCGGGTGAGGAGGGTATTTGAAAATCTAAACTAATTACAACTGTAAAAACAAACATTACAAATTAAAAAGAAATGTAAAAAACAAGATGACAAAAATCAGTAAATTTCATGCAGTGAATTTTCACATATTACATTGCTGATGATGATAATAAAAAATATACATTGACTTGCACATTGTAGTTTTCTTTCCTTAAAAATATTCTGATTTCAAGGTGATGAATGATGATGATTATGTTGATGATGATGATCTACTCTGATCATCAAAAGTTTGAAATTGTGTGATACTTTTTAGAGTATTATTGAGAGTTGTATGGAAAAATTGCTTGTGATTTTCCCCATTTGTACAGTGAGTTGCTTTTGGGTTAAAGCATCTGATAAATGACTAAATGCAAATATTAATTTTAGACTTTTTTTATTGAATTTCAGATTTGCTTTCAAAGGGAACTCAACCCATGGTCAGAGCCGGACTCCACCCACTGGCAATATTTGAGGTGAACCTGAGACCCGCGTCTCTCTGTAGGAGGATAGACTCTGTCAACGACTTCAACGGCTCTTCAACGACTCTCTCAAGGGCGTGGTGAGCTGGTGCCTGCTTTCGTCACGCAGTATCCAATAGGAAAATTAATCTGCAGCATAGCCACCGTTTAACCTGAAGAGGGCAGTAGTAGTTTTTACACCATATATTGAAGAATTAAAACACTTTATACCCAAATGTATAAAAAAAAATTGTACTCGAATCACTGAAAACAGCCCCAGTCTTACAGATCCTTAACTAAAAAACTAAGTTACCCTTTAATGGCTGGATGGACTCCCATAATGAAGACATGATGGGAAGTCTGAAGACCAGGACATCTCTGGCACTGGTGGATGAGGTCTGGCATTTGAACCTCTGAGGCGTCCATGACAAGAAGTCCTAGGACCAAACAGCCATGACGGGAACCCCAGGTCCGGGACAGACAGGGTAGGAAGCTTTAAACTGAAACAGAGAGACATAAACCTGTAACGGTGGCTTTACCAAACCAGAATGGGTTTTCAAATAAGGCTAGGGTTGGTTTAAAATCAATCGGGCACCAGACAAGTTCAACTTGTCAAGAAAACCAAATATATGCTGGATAGGTTGGGAATCCTTGGCCAGGAAAAGAGTTTTGACTTTTACGTGAGGCTAATAAGTGGGGAGGAGAATTCGAAGGCTTTGACGTGAGGTTAAAAAGTGATGGAGACCAAGATCAGTACCTGAAGCAGGTGAATCTAACTGGATAGTGTTGCTCCAGGCAACGCGGCGAACCAGGAAGAGCGGTATTTCTCCGTCACTTTGGCCGTCACACCCAGCAGCGCATACACAGAATTTCCAGTAGACAATAACAGCAACGTCCTTCAGGTACTTGTGTCTCACTTCAATCACCTACACGTGTGTTTCCTCTTTTCCGTTCTCTCACTTCCGTTCTCTTTCCACTCCTCACTTCCGTTTCTAGCTCTCTTTTATCTTCCATTTACACATTAGTTTTCGCCCTTTTCTCCATATCGCCACAAACCTCTGGGCCGGCAGTGGCAAGAATTATTAACTGACTGTGAGGCGCAAATGATGGGATCTTCTGGGACAGGGTGGACCGGACGGAAATAACTAGGAGCTTGGATACTGTTGTGGCTGAGATGGTCATCATGAGTGCTGACCTTGTGACAAGAACAGGAATCTCTGGTGTGCCTGTGGCAGGAATCACTGGGGCAGCCATGACTGGGAGCACTGGTATTGAGGAGGCAGTCACATATATCATAGATCAGTCGTATCAGGACCCTTGTTACCGGCTGTGACCAGGAGAGGGAGCTCTGTCATCGGAGAGGCAGAAAGCTCTGGCATTGAGAAGCCATGGTGAAACCTCTTACCGCGCGCCCTCCGCGGCGGCGGCGGCGACGACTCATTCGAATGTCTGCCCTATCAACTTTCGATGGTACATTCAGGGTTCGATTCCGGAGAGGGAGCCTGAGAAACGGCTACCACATCCAAGGAAGGCAGCAGGCGCGCAAATTACCCATTTCCGACACGGAGAGGTAGTGATGAAAAATAACAATGAAGGTCTCTTTCGAGGCCCTGCAATTGGATTGAAAATAAAAAGGGGCTCTTATGTGGCGACCTGAAACAACACAGAAAAAAGAACAGATTTGACTTAGCGAATTCTTCCTATGAGAAAATCAAATGATTTTTAGCCGATCTTAGTTTCACTACCTTAAACCAGTTGTGGGACAGAATCATCCCCAGACTGAGTCGCTGGCTCGGCTTCTCCTTTAGCAGAGACCCGAGGAGGCGACAGCATTCTGTGAAGGAAGACGTCTGATTATTACCTCAAACTTTACATCATGTTTTGTATGATAGTGAACTATTAATTCTAGATCTCACCTGGAGACAGGTTGGGTTTGCACCAGAGCTTCTGTTTCAGGAGCATCAGGTCATAGTCACTAGGGAAATGTCCACATAACATGACGAACATCAGAATCCCTAGTGACCATGCCGTCGCCTGCCTGCCATGGTACTTCCCCTTGGCACGGTACTCGGGAGGACAGTACGCTGATGTGCCTGAGGAAAGATTTTGTGTGAGATGTAAATTTGTAATGCGTTCCCACATCTTTGAGTGCAGCTTTGAGTTACAATACATACCGGAGTATGACCTGTACACCGAACTCCTCAGAATGTCCCCACACCCGAAGTCTATCAGCTTGACTTCAGACGTCTCCATGTTGATGAGGAGATTTTCCAGTTTGATGTCACGGTGGAGAACTCTGCGATCGCAGCACACGTTGGCAGCGTGAACCGTCTGCCTCATGATGTGCCGTACCTTTTCCTCATCGAGTCTTCCACCGTGACGCTTCATGAACCGGATCAGATCCTCACATGGAGAGGGACATTCGAGGACCATGACGAAGTGGTCAGGGCGGTCCTGCCAGTCCAGCAGCCGGATGATCTCAGGCACACGGGGACCTTTACTGGCCAGGATGGTGAGGGCGACCTCTTTAGGAAGGGGCTTTGGATGATCAGGCTAGAAGAATTTGGTTTGGAAATAAAGATTTAGCTCAGTCTTGGATCAGTTTGTTAATTGAATAAACAATCAAATATCTGTCTGTGGTTAATTTTAATATGAGGTGTTTTATATTGTGCAGCCTACTTACAATGAATATACATTCAGTGTGTTCCGTCTTTGTGACGTATTTCACGGCCACCTGATGAACAAAACAAACAATTAATTTGTGTGCAAAAGCCATAAGATACACTAAGAAGGCTTCGAGTGATATATCAGAAGATAATTCACAAGATCATGTTTAATTTATTTTGACTCACTTTAAGATCATCCTCCAGACGTCTCCCTTCATACACCACACCAAAACCACCTTTCCCCAGCTGATCACCAATAGTGTAGTGACTGAAGATGTAGTCTATTAAAAGACAAAATAACATGATGGATATATTTATTTTAATGTATTTTAAATAATTAACAGAGACTATATGGAATATTTACAGTTTTAACATCAGTACACACACACACACACACACACACATATATATATATATATATATATATATATATGGTAACACTTACAATAAGGTTTATTAGTTAACATTAGTTAATGTATTTACTAACATGCACTATGAGCAATACATTTGTTACTGCATTTGTTCAATGTTAGTTCATGAAAATACAGATGTTCATTGTTTGTTCATGTTAGTTCACGGTGCATTAACTAATGTTAACAAGATTTTAATCAAGTATTAGTAAATGTTGAAAATAACATTAGCAAAGATTAACAAATGCTGTATATGTGCTATTCATTATTAGTTCATATTAACTAATGTAGTTAACTATTGTTAACTAACGAACCTTATTGTAAAGTGTTACCATATATATATATACACACACATATTTAATGTTGTACCATAAAGATCTAATGGCATTGATGTGTATTTTGGTATAATTTGCACTGATGTGTATTTGATATTGTCATTGTGTGTGATACAGAGTTTTTACGAGGTCAAATCAGAGATCTAGTCATTTATATTCTCATAAGATATCTGGTGAAATTTACCATCACTACTTCTTCCTGCCCATGCTACCTTCCTCTCCTCTCCCTCATCCCTCTGCTTCTCCTCTCCCTGTTTACTGTCAGCTCTGAAGAAAGAGACCATCCTCCTCCACCACTTCCTCTTTCTTCTCTTCAGCACTCTCCCTGACTCCTTCCTCTCCTCGCCTCCGTCTCCTTCTCCTCTCTCCATGAACCTCCTCAACTTCACCTCACTTTCCTCTCCTCCTCCTCCTCCTCCTAATCCTCCTCCTTCTCCTCCTCCTCCTCCTCTCCTCTCTTGGCTCTTTCCCACACCAGCAGCATCAACAGGAGTCTCAGTCTCATCGCGAGGACGAGGATGCTGAACCGCCGTGTTAATGCTGGGTTTTGGGGGTGTGCTTTGATGTTGATCGCACACCTCGCCAATCATCGGACTCACTTTACTAACTCGCTGACCCATCGCTGTGAAAAACCACTGTCACTCTCTCTCGACCACTACAACAAACCCACAAATTGTGTCAGGCTGTGAAGCGCTTATATAGTAAACCCACGCGTTCGATTCGTTCGATTCTACTAACTTTCTTTATGACGTCATGAGTCAAACATACACTAACGAAATGAAGCTAATCTGAGATCTGAGATCTGCTTTATCTAAATGCTTTCTTTTTTTAATAACTTTAAAATATAAGCAAATTTGTATTTTTCTAAACATCTCTCTAATACAGACTATTGTAGGCCTACATTAATTGCTGTATGTGATATTTTTACTATTGAAATCTGTTGTTTTTGTCTGTTGAAACTACGGCCAAATCTATATGTTTGCAGTGATATTTCTACATGGGGTTGTTACAAAATATTGTCAACAAGAAATAGATGACTAGCCTAACTAATGTGTAATATGTTCAGATTTGATAGCAGTTTCTTGGTAGTTGAAGAAACGTGCGGACTCTTAAATTAGGAAAAAAAGTTATTAAAGTATCTGTAATATGTATAAGACTCAGCCATATGTTTTTGTTTGTTTGTTTGTTTTTTATTCAACTTTTACAAGCTTATAATGACATTTTACAACAAATAAGACACATAATGGAGAAAACACATAACTACATTGTACAGAGTAAAACATTAAATTCTACAAACTATTTTTTCCTCTCAGCCATATGTTTATAAACTCCTCTATAGAAAATTCGTTTGGAATAAAAATCTCACGTTTACGTCTCTTCTGCAGTAAATTAATATTCATGAGCCAAACCCACGCCTCAGTTTAAATAGCAGGATCTCTGATCTCAGCGCAGTTTAATGGCCTTTAACGGTCTTCTGACTCTGACTGAAACTACGGAGCGTTTCAACGACTTCCAGAAATCATCTCTTCTTCTCCAAAACACTCGGTCACGCTGTAAACTCTAAACACGTAACGTTATTTACTATTTTTATTAACTGAGTCTTCTGTAAGGATTTAGGCACATTTAAAAGGCGTATTTTCAGTTTTTGATTTTCACTTTCGCTCACTTTTAAAGTAGGTCATCTTATTTCCTAAACGCAGCGTGAGAATGATGAACTGCGGTCTTGTGACTGAGAAAAATGATCTGGGTATGAATTCACCTGTTTACTTTACAGTTTCTAAATGTATTTAGCCTGTCATTAATATGTGGTAGAGCTTGTGTGTTTTTCAAACAATGAGGTTTGTCGCGACTAGGGATTTAAGTTATCTCGTATGGATTTTGGGACCATTGCTGTTCTCTCTATCTCCTCTTATATTGCCTAGTACTGTATGTTATGCCGACGATCTCCAGTTATACTTTCCTGTGAGCTTTGATAAAACATGTTCACTTGGCAAAGCACAAAAATGTTACAGCGACATAAAACTTTGGCTTTCTAGCAACTTTCTCCAATTAAATGAGAGTAAAACTGTGTAGGCTCTCCCATCTCATCTCACCTACCTAAAGATTGAAGATCATGTAGTTTAGAGGTGATCATGGACATATCGTTAAAGGTAGCTTTTTTAAGCTGCGATCAATTGCTAAAGTAAAGCATTTGGATTGTGGTGCACTCTTTTATTTCATCAAAGTTTGACTATTGCAATTCTTTATTGGTCTCCCTAGACTATGCTAGTCCGCCTACAGTTAGTGCAAAATGCAGTGGCTTTTAACAGGCGTGATGAAGAGACTGTATTACTCCTGGACTGCAATCTTTACATTGGCTTCCGGTTAAATTCAGGATTGATTTTAAAGTCCTCTTGTCTGCCTATCAGGCCTTGGCCTCAGAACATCAGTGATCTTAGATCATAAAGGTCCCTCGTTGTCATTTAAAATCAAAAGGAGATTGTGCTTTTTCTGTGGTGGGTCCCAAACTTTGCAATAATTTACCATTCCACGTGAGGTCAGCTCCATCAATTGCCACTTTTAATTCTTATTTAAAAAACACATTTATTTTCTTTAGCTTTTGAATAAGTTATGTTTTGTTTTGTTGCACGATTTTAATGTTATAATTTTTGTAAAGCACTTTGGGGCAACGTCTGTTGTTTAAAAATGTGCTATATAAATAAAGCTGCTTGCTAGTATTATTTTATTTATACTGAAGGTGGAATTTAACTGAACTATTTTTTCGTTTGTTTTCATAGAGAGTCTAATAGACGTTTTGTGATGTTGTTGTTGTTCTGTTGGTTTGTGTGACTCAGTGCCTCTGAAGAGCATCTCTGTGGAGGTCAGTGTTCAGGATCATGTCTCCACAGTCTCCTCCACTCTGCTGTATGTGAATGAGGAAGAGCGCCCCCTGGAGGCCTTGTTCGTGTTCCCTCTGCCCGCTGATGCTGCTGTCTGCCACTTCAGTGCCAAGATCGGAGAGCAGGAGATTGTGGCAGAGGTGCAAGACAGAGAAACCGTGAGTCCAAATATAAGTCTGTAGGAAGTGTATTTTTTACTGTGTGCAGCACGTAATATACTTGTGTCTTGCAGGCGAGGGATCGGTATGATGACGCTTTGAGTTCGGGTCAGCAGGCGTTTCTGCTGGAAGAGAGCGCAGAGAGTCCTGATGTGTTCAGACTGAGTGTCGGGTGTCTGTCGCCGGGTCAGAACGCTGCCGTCACCATCATCTACATCACCGAGCTCGATGTGCAGGCCGACCACTCGCTGCGCTTCTGTCTGCCGGCTGTGCTCAACCCCCGATACACACCAGCAGGTACAGCAGCTGCAGACACACTTTATTAGTGGAGACAAGCTGATTCTAACACACTCTCTCTCTCTCTGTGTGTGTGTGTGTGTGTGTGTCAGGTTCAGGAGCTGGTATAGTCTCAGAGATTTCATCAGTATGTGGAGCTGCTCCCTACACGCTGACACTCAGTGTCCATGTGAGCTCTCCAAAGCCCATCTCCAAACTAGAGTCCAACTGCACTCTGGATCCTCTAGTGTTCCTCCGCTCGGATCACACTCAGGCTACGGTACTGTGTGTGTCTTCATGTGTTTATCTGGATGTGTGAGCACAGTAGTGTTATTCATGTGTTTTTATGTGTGTAGGTGAATCTGAGTCCTGGTCACATGTTTGATAAGGACGTTGAGCTGTTTCTGTACTATCAGGATACCCATCAGCCCTCTGCTGTAGTGGAGGCAGGAGTGGCCACTGCCCCATCAGGTCGGACCTGCAGATCACTGGCATTATGGGATTGAGTGATCAAGGTTTCACTGACTCTCTCTCTCTATTTCAGGCTCTCTGATGAGGGACCCAGTGGTCATGATAAGTTTGTACCCAGAATTCCCTGAAGAAGTGATGTCATCACTGGCAACACAAGGAGAGTTTATTTTTGTGATGGACAGATCAGGCAGTATGGGTGGGATGCCCATAGAAAGAGCAAAGGTAAGATTTAAGATTTTGCTTTTTAAGTGGAGGTCAAATTTAATTTGTACATTTTGTGCATAGTTATAATATTGCTACACTTTTTTTGCATTACAGTCGCTTTGATGAAAAATCCCTCATTTTGTTCAATAATTGGATTCATGAACAGATTGTCTCTTGTTCAGACTCAAATCAATGACTCTCGTTCAGTAAAGGGGTTCAGTAGGTCGAATGCTCCTTCACAACCCACTCGAATACAGTTGGCTATAATCACACCGCACAGTTCAAAACAGATTTTTTCTCTCCTGATTTCAAAACAGAGGTACTTCAGTGTACAATAAATAACAGTCAGTGTATGAAAGTGAACAAGAACGCTTTGTTCAAAATACACTGATTTGTTAAATTTTCAGAATTTTTAGTTGGACTTTTACAACATTTTAAAACATTTCAGTGTTTTACCAAAATTTATGTTTTTCCAAAAACTGCTCATTTTGATTTCTGCTCATTCTGATGGTGCGCATCACAAATAGAATCAGTTTTGATGTCATGTTGAGTTTGAATATCTGTCCATGTCTCTCTACTATAGGACACTCTGCTGTTACTGTTGAAGAGCCTGCCAATGGGATGCTACTTTAATATCTATGGATTTGGCTCTCGTTTTGAGTCTTTCTTCCCGTTAGTAACTAGATTTTCACTCATTGATATTCAGTTTTGAAATCTGTCAGAGAGGAGATGAGATGTTTTGTGTGCCTTTGCAGTCAGAGTGTCGAGTACAGTCAGGACACGATGGATCAGGCTCTAAAAAGAGTGAAGGAAATGAAAGCAGACCTGGGCGGCACAGAGATTTTACAGCCTCTAAAACACATCTACAGCCAGCCCTGCAACCCTGACCATCCCAGACAGGTACAGCAACACTTCAACATGCATCTGATTGACAGACTGACAGTCATGTGAAAGTGTCAACAAGGCTAAAAAAGTTAGTTCACCAAAAAATTACATTTTTTTCTCACCCTCATGTCATTCCAAACCCATAAGACTTTTTTAATGAAATCTGAGAGGTTTCTGTTCCTCCATTTTAAGTCCATTCGCCTAATACTTTGATGCTTCAAAAAGTTTATAGAACACAAGTTCTACCAGAAAGACTCGGGAGATAAATTGAAAAGTAATAATCAAGACACTTTACTGCCGTACCATGAGTGCAGCAGGTGCGATGACTACACAAACTTAGTCCCGGTCACGTTAGAAGCCGGGGAATATTTTCAGGCGCTGCGTCATAACATTACGCCTACTGCACTCGTGGTACGACAGGGAAGTTTCCTGATTATTACGCAGGAATGAGAGTATAGTTCCTAGTCATATCAGCCTAGAAAATCGCAACTTTACATTTTCCATCTGTCTAAGTGCACGATGTAACTATAGAAGAGTCAAGTTTTAAATAGGAAAAATATCGAAACACTTTGGTAATTATTTTGAGAGAAATGCTACTGGTCTTGTGCACTTCAGTGATGTATGCTAAGCTATGCTAAAAGTGGTACCGCCAGAACCAGAGATCAGCTGAATGGATTCAAAAAAGGTAAAACTCAACAGTTTAACTCTGGGGGAGTTGTAAAATGAGCGTATTTCCAAAAAAAGTGGAGTATCCCTTTAATGATGTATTTAAACCTGATTCTACCAAAGTTCTAATTTTGTTATTGTAATAATAACCTACTTCAATTAGTTCAAAAATGTGATTTCGAATCATTAAACACATTAACTTGCATCAAGGTGAAAAAAACACAAATGACTGAGCTATTTCCCTTTACTGAAAAACATAAAATAACACTTAAGGAGGACTCGGACTCTTGGGAAGTGAATAACGGGGGCTGGGAACTGAGGCAAGCATGGAATGGGGATAATCCCGTGGCGGACGACGGTAACAAATTGTGAGCATACTCAGCCCAGGAAATTTGGTTGCACCAGAAAGCAGGACTCGTGAGAAGTCAGACTAAGTAACATGCGACCAAGAATCTGGTATGCTCAGCTTGCCCGTTGGTCTGTGGATGGAACCCTGACCACAGACTGGAGGACGTCCCAATCAGTTGACGGAATTCCCCCCAGAACTGGGAGGCAAACTGTGGCCCCCTATTCGAAATGATGTCTGTCGGAAGCCCATGAATCTTTAAAAACGTGTTTGACCTTCACCTGTGCGGTTTTTCTAGCTGGGAAAATTAGAAAATTGATCTACCACTGTCAAGATTACCGTGTTCCCCGCTGACGGAGGAAGACCCATTACAAAGTACAGAGGTTTGTGGGACCACGGACGAGAAGGAATGGGAAGTGGTCTAAGGAGACCCACGGGTGGAAAATTAATCTTCTTAGTCTGGGCTCAGAAAGGACATGAATCTACAAAATGACTTATGTCGCACTCTCTATTAGACCACCAAAATCTTTGGCGAATGGCCAGCTGAGGAACCGGGTTGTAGAGTGTGCCACGAATCCTCGACAACCCACTTCCACTGGATAAACCTGGACTCTCCATCCTCGCTGTTCTGCCTCAGTGGCCAGATGAGCATACCGCAGTTTCTTCCTCTCATATGCCTCATCTACCTCATCCTCCCATGGCACTGTTAGCTCTATCAGCTGAACAATGCGTTCTGATCCAGACCACAAAACAATATCTGGTCATAGGTAAGTGGTGGCAATCTCAGGTGGAAAAATAAGCCGTTGATCAATATCAGCCAGCATCTTCCAGTCCCTAGCAACTTCCAGTTGTCCTGGGCGAGAATTGGTGTTAACACCTTTTCTTGGTGGTTGCTCGTCTGGGCGGAGGAGTACTGTCTTCTGCATGCAATGTTTTGCAGGCGGCAACTTATTGGTCATACTGTACTACGCTTGCCCACCAATGCTAAAGCCCAACTTGCATTGTTCCACACTCTCCCATCTCATCCACTCTCCCTGCTTGGCCTGGGAAATGGCCTTTATACACCTCATCCTCTCCTCCTGCTTTCGCACCTCCTTGACTACCAGCTTCCTCCTTTGAGCTGGGCCTGCCTTGTGCTATTTAGGAGGAGCTAAACTAAGCCAAAAACCCCCTCTTCCATGCTTTACCTGTCCCACAATATCCCCAATTTGAAGGGCAGCCTTTGTCTCTATTGCAGATTTCTTTGCTGACCACTTCCTACCAGTTTTTAACACAGAGGCTGCCTCCCGTACACATTTGTTGCGTGACTCTACTAAGGTCATTTCCAGCCTGACCTTGGCACACTTAAACTCCTCGGTTAAAGCAGAGACTGGCAGCTGGAATATTCCTTTACTATAAAGTCCCACTCCCAAGCCATCATACCATCTCCCAAGACTCTTCACTGGCTTCTCAGAAACTGTTGGTATTACCTCACCATTAATGAAGAATGTTTTATCTACTACCTTTGCTTTAACTATCGAGATGCTCCTTGATTTAGAGGGCTTAAATTGCATTCGTGCCCATTCAATATTATCTGTTAACTTCCCCAATAACCGGATAGTGCAGGCTACTGTTGTAGTCATGGTTGTCATGTCATCTATGTATGCTCTGATTGGTGGTAGTAGCATCCCAGAAGCCAAGCGCTCTCCTCCTACTACCCATCTTGATGCCCTAATGAGTACTTTCATTGCCATAGTAAAATCCAATGGAGAAATGGTGCATCCTGCCATTATTCCGACCTCTAAGCATTGCCATGCAGTGCTGAATTTTGGAGTTGAGAAACTAAATTGCAGATCTCCAAAGTAGGCTTTCACTAAATTTGTTATTGACATTGGTACTGAAAAAATCGAATGCTGCCAAAAGAAGCTCATGTGGCACTGAACCATACGCATTAGCCAAATCGAGGAATGTCACATGGAGCTCCTTCCTCTCCTTTTTTGCTGACTGAATTTGTTGCCAGATAACATTGATATGCTCTAAGCATCATGAGAACCCTGGAATGCCCGCTGAAGTGAACTGAAGTGTCAATGAAGCCATTCGTTAATAGGTAGGTGGACAATCTCTGGGCAATAATGCTGAAGAAAATCTTACCTTCAACGTTTAATAGTGAAATAGGACGAAACTGACTGATCCTTGTAGCATCTCTTTCTTTAGGAATAAAGACTAGCGCCATGCTCTAGGCACAACCTGTTTTTCCCATGCCACTTTTATCAATTTCCACAAAATTCGCAGAACTCCTGAAGCACTCTTGTACACTCTGTACGGAACTCCATTAGGCCCTGGAGATGATGAAGCCCTTGCCTTTCTCACAGCTGCTTTACCTCTTTCCACTTTGGTTGCACAGACCTCCATTTGGTGTTCTGGTGGATTGATAGGTGGGATGTCTGATGGAATTGACACAAATCTCTCTAGCTCAACCCTAGATGCTTTTAAAGTGCCATTCTTCTCCCTGGTGAATAACTTGGGTCTTTATAGAAATTAGCCCTCGCACGTTCCTTCTTTTTGTAGCGTGTCCGTAGGCGCTCAACTCTTAAATTTTATGGCCCTTTGTAAGAGATTGAGTCCCTCCTTCTGACTTTGTTCTGCTCTTTTCCTTTGCATCCTCAGCTGTCTCCTTTCTCTAACTAACCCTTCAATTTTTTAAACTGCTCAATTCATATTTTCATTTGTGCATCAAATATAAACAAATCATTTTTGCGTGAACTCCCCCTTTAATACTAAGATGTTTTTCTCTCTTCAGCTGTTCATCTTCACTGATGGAGAGGTGGGAAACACTAAAGAGGTGCTGGACCTGGTCAAACATCATGTTCACTCTCACAGGTAAACGTCTGCTGGGTTTCATCTTCCCATCATTCATCTCTTCATCACTTACTGTAACAGAGTTTATTGTGTGTTCAGGTGTTTCTCATTCGGGATTGGTGAGGGTGCAAGTAGCGCCCTCATCACAGGAATGGCCAAGGAAGGATCAGGTCACGCTCAGTTCATCACAGGCACCGACCGCATGCAGCCCAAAGTAAAGCTCTCCACTGGATTTCACAGCCACAAATGTTTCCTAGTCAAATGTCTCAATGTTTTTTTCTTTCTCTTCAAACTATATCAGGTGATGCAGTCCCTCAGGTTTGCGCTGCAGCCCCATGTGTTTAATATCTCTGTGGATTGGACCCTTCCAGATGGCGTTACTGTTGACACACTGTCTCAACCCATCAACGTCCTCTTCCAGGGTCAAAGGGCACTCATTTACGCACAACTTAAAGGAAAGGTAGGATGATTTAGCATGTGTTTCTTTAAAGAGAATAGGAGACCGGTGTCTCTCATTTGTTTAGATGATAAAATATCTGCCCCTCTTTTATAGAGTTCAGGAGGTTTCGAGGGAAACGTGACGGTCAAATACAGGCTTAAAGATCATCCAGTTACAAACCAGCTCCACTTTTGCCTCAAACCAGCTGGGGAAACTGGGTAACACACACAAACACGCAGGAAGACATTGAATTGGATGACATAAACTCAGCTTTTTAAATCCAACAAATTTCCTTCATGTTTTTGCAGGTTGTCCGTCCACCGGCTGGCGGCTCGGACCCGGATCCGTTCTCTGGAGCAGGAGGAAAGGACACGTGGTGCAGATGTTAAGGGCATCAGGAGAAAGATAGAGGAGCTCAGTGTTCAGGCAGGAGTGAGCAGTGTTCATACAGCTTTCATTGCTGTTAATAAAAACAGCAGAAAGACTGTGAAAGGACCCCTGCTGCAGAGAAGAGTGCAGACATACGGTTAGTGCGACGATTGTGAAGGATGTTTGTGAATCTTTTATTACTATTAACAAAAATCATGTTCTTGTTACATATTTTACATTTGGTGTGTTAAAGTAATCGAAATCAAATGCTATTTTAGGGTCACAGGAGTGGAATTTATGGCCAATACTGAATGTCAAATCAAACTGCTTTGATTGTATGTGTAAAAGTGACTTGACTACATACTAAAGTACATTTTGATGTGTTAATCTCATTAGGATGTGAAAACAAATGTTTTAGAAATGTACTGCATATAGAAAGTCCCAGGATGCCAGTATGTGACAGTGGCTTTTGCATGGAAAGCACAAATCATATTTTCTTCAAATTATAAGATATAAAATGTACAGTTTTAGGGAGGATGTGGTCAGTGGTTCTTTTCAGTCTGTGGGGGTTTCTTGTACTTGCAAGAATGTGTTTGTGGTATTTGCTAAGACAACTTTCCCAACATAACATCAAAAGACTGAGTGCTAAAAAATTGCTCTTGTACCTGTTTTTATGGGTTCATTGACAAACAAAACAACGCAAAGGGTAATTGCAAAATTGTTTTGGGCCAGAAATGTCTAATTCAATCCATCCCTATTCCAAAGCTTTTCTTGTTTGTTAGTCCTGTTTTTGGCTGTTTCTTCCAGATATGAAGTTTTCGCTGCCTGTAGCTAACTGTGCTCTGTCACGGACCTTTGAATGGGGGCCTCCTAAGTCACGGCTGGGTAAGTGCACTTCAATGAAAATTTTACGGAAGAAATATTGAAGAAACCGTTGCATTTAATCACTGGTTTATAAGCCTCACCAAACCACACCACAAAAAGGAGAGCACTAAATGATTCCCTGTCACATAACAATTACCAAGATGTAAAATTAATTTGTTTTCAGGGAGACCATCTCACAACCTGTTTAAAAATCAAGGTAAGATAAATCACATTGACTACCGGTAATCTTCTGTTGTGGTTTTATGGTTAGGGGTTAGGTGTTTTTTGTTATGCGGGTTTGCATGTGAACATTTAAAAAAAAAAAAATCATGTTTTATGGGAAGAATGGTGCCACAGTACACACAGACACACACTCAAACGCAAACACACACACATACACAGAGCCGCTCAGCACTATTACCCCCCGCCCCTCCCTCGTTTCAAAGCATGTCAATCAAAGTTTACAACATTAGGCGGAACTATCCTTCTGGTCACAAAATGAGAATTGTGGCAACAGCAATCAGGCAGACTTGTGTTCTCTCCTTTCCAAGTTTGATGTCAGCAAGAACAGTACAGTTAAAGGACAACTCCGGCGCAAAATGAACCTTTAGTCTAATTACACATTGCTACCTAGTCAACCGTTATCTGAGATTTGTTTTCATGATTGCCGAATGTAAATAGTTTTATCTCTAAAAACAGTTTAGCCTATAACGCTAGTATAACGCTAGTATATAGGGCATAGAGTAATGACAAATAAAAATCGCTTGTTATTACCACTAAAAAGGCTCAAAATAGCCCCACAGTAACACGACAGCATAAAAAGAGTCCCTACATTCAAACCGAAGCGTTGAGAACTTTGTCAGTGTCCATACAGTTTAATAAGCAGATGTTTTATACACACAGTAAATTTCGCGAATTCAGGAAGAAGCCATCTTGGAAAAATAGTCTCTACCAGTCGATCTACGAACGCCGATCCAAGTGCGCTGGTGAGATGTGAATAAGGTGATAAAGTGAGCGCGAACAGTAGGCTACGTGTACATATTGAAGAGAAGAAAACGGTTTGTGTTTGTGTTTCTTCTGGAAACAACGGATCATATGAGGTTCTGCACAGTTCAGCGCACTTGGATCGGCGCTCGTAGATCGACTGGTAGAGACTATTTTTCAAAGATGGCTTCTTCCTGTATTCGCGAAATTTACTGTGTGTATAAAATATCTTCTTATAAACTGTGTGGACACTGACAAAGTTCTCAACGCTTCGGTTTGAATGTAGGGACCCTTGTTATGCTGTCGTTTTGGTGTGGGGCTATTTTGAGCCTTGTTAGTGGTAATAACAAGCGATTTTTATTTGTCATTACTCTATGCCCTATATACTAGCGTTATACTAGCGTTATAGGCTAAACTGTTTTTAGAGATAAAACTATTTACATTCGGCAATCATGAAAACAAATCTCAGATAACGGTTGACTAGGGAACAATGTGTAATTAGACCAAAGGTTCATTTTGCGCCGGAGTTCTCCTTTAAGTTGATGTGCATCTCTCTCTAGTCTGTCTGTCTGTCTGTCTGTCTAACCTAGCTGGGAAGTGCATCTTTTGGTTTTTCTGTGTCTTTGCTAATGGCGGTCACTTCCAGGACTGTGTGACTTTGTGCCTGACAAAAAAAAGTTTGAGTGAAATACAACCATTTATAACATTTGATAAACAACAAATGCAACGGTGTTTGTTTATAAACTGCATCTCAGAAAAGATAACCGTGCGTTTACATGCGTTTATATGCCCGTGCACAAAATAAAACTTTTCACTTTCCAGCAGAAACTTCTGTGGGGACCAGTACAATATGGGCGCACATACTTTTAAAACAAGACAATGATTTTTTTTTCTCTCTAAGTCATTTTAGTGTCAACTCTAAAGCAAGATGGAAAGCAATATATTGAAATTGACTATTGATTTATAGGCTATATTGCATTTAAAATGTTGATTGGCTAACATATTGGTCAATATGCACATCCCTCAGTAAATAATAACCATTAAGTATCAAGTATTGCTTATATCATTCAAACACAGTGACATGCTATGGCAAGCCATTTTAGCTTATGTTCATTCACAGGATGCATTTGTGATATCGATAATTACATTTTTACCATTTAAAATGTGAATTGTTGTTAGGAATTATGCACTTTTTCTAGTAACAATGTTTATTTCTGATGTCAGAGATTTACATTTTCTTTAGTACTAGTTAAAGAAGGAAGGAGTCAGGTGTGACTGTGGCAATGGCAAATGGTTTACATGGCTCATGGGTCAGGGCTTAGAGCCCTTAAAGGGTTAGTTCACCCAAAAATGAAAATTAAGTCATTAATTACTCACCCCCATGCTGTTCCAACCCCGTAAGACCTTCGTTCATCTTCGGAACACAAATAAAGATATTTTTGATTGAATCTGAGAGCTGGATCAGTCCTACATAGACTGCCTAAGGGACTGGCTCTTGACGGCCCATAAAGTCATTAAAGAAAAGGTTTAAATATTCCATGTGCCTACAGCGGCTCAATTATAAGTTTATCAAGCGACGAGACTACTTTTTGTGAGAAAAAAACATAAATAACGACTTTATTCGACTATTCTATTACTTCCTTATGGCCGCATGCGCGAGAACTGAGACGAGGACGTTCTCATTCGTCTACTTCTTGTTACCGGCTGCTCACCGCTTAGGAGTTTTACCGCCCCCTACCGTATAAGATGATGTGCTGATATAGCTGGAAGCGCAAAACTTTCTGTTTACAAGCAGAGGAAGATGCGCGCTGTACATACGCTTTTCAATTAGCGTATTTTCCGCACTATAATGTGCACTTAAAAGCCTTTAATCTTCTCAAAAAACGACAGTGTTCCTTATAATCCGGAGCGCCTTATATATGGATCATCATCTTATACGGTAGGTGGCGGTAAAACTCCTAAGCGGTGAGCAGCCGGTAACAAGAAGTAGACGAATGAGAACGTCCTCGTCTCAGTTCTCGCGCATGCGCCCATAAGGAAGTAATAGAATAGTGGAATAAAGTCGTTATTTATGTTTTTTTTCGCACAAAAAATATTCTCGTCGCTTGATAAACTTATAATTGAGCCGCTGTAGGCACATGGAATATTTAAACCTTTTCTTTAATGACTTTATGAGCCGTCAAGAGCCAGTCCCTTAGGCAGTCTATGTAGGACTGATCTAGCTCTCAGATTCAATCAAAAATATCTTTATTTGTGTTCCGAAGATGAACGAAGGTCTTACGGGGTTGGAACAGCATGGGGGTGAGTAATTAATTACTTAATTTTCATTTTTGGGTGAACTAACCCTTTAATTTTGCTTAGGGCCCCAGGGAGGCACACACACACACGCACAGACACGTACACACACACGTCTCAACATTAAGTGTTGTTATACTTATTTTATAACATATTTACTTATTTCCCTCTCGTCTTTCACTGTCGTCACTCCTCCTTTTATGCTTCCGAAGCTCCTCTGTGAGAGATGAGAGACTGGTGTGCATCCCCAATCAGTAATCACACCAGCTACCTAATTACTTTACTATTAATCTCAATCGTGTAAAATAGTCATAATAAAGAATGAGGAGATGTTCAAACTGGTAACTAAGAGTGTATAAATATTTGGGCTGTCAAATGAAACATTTAATTCATGCGATTAAACTGTTTAACATGTTTGTACAGTACATGAGACTGAATGTGAGGAAATATTTTTAATTATTGCTGATGCAGTTTTTTTTTTTTTTTTAAGAGTTGATTTTTGTGATGGTGTGTGTGTGTGTGTTAGACCAAGAAATTTGCGTTGCATTCATTCAAATATATAGCTTCACATATGGTGTTTGTGCATGTTGGTTTTGTGTCCTTTTGTGTTTCTGCAAGAAAAATCAATGTTTACATATTCCCGTTTCGTTTGTTCACTTTTATTTATTATCTGAATGTGCTGGCATATTGACAGTTGTAGAAGATTCCCAGATGTTTCAATCCTTAGAGAGGATGGGCGATTTATATTCAACACTTTCTACGAGTAAGTGAACACATACATCGAAGGCCATTTCACAAACTTCTTAATTTTTTTAGTCTTTTACTTTGGATTTTCTACTGAAACGAGAGAAACACACAGTCATTTTAGAGAACTTGTTGATTGTTAGTGAAAAAATGTTTCTTCAGATTTACTAAAGACATGAATTTTCCATTTGAACAGGAACACTTCGGCAAAACAAAACGTAAGACAATGAATCCACAGTGATTGACATGTTTTTGTGATATGAGTGTGTGTGAGTTTATTTCAATCTCTATGTGAAACTCTAATGCAAAGTCTCCTTATGGTCGATTATTGTTGTTGTTACAGAGATCATATTCCACTGTCTCATCAAGAAAAATCTCTTGGCAAAATAAGGGGTATACAAACACACACACACACACACACAGTTTCGATGGTTTATGGGGACTTTCCATAGACATAATGATATTTATACTGCAAAAACTATATATTCTATCCCCTAAATGTAACCATCACAGAAAAATTCCTAAAACTTCATTTACTATGATTTATAGGCACTGTTCTTCTTGGAGAGATAAAAATGCCCCAACAAGGTAAATAATGACTATTAAAAATAAAGTCCCCTTTACGGGCTTAACTGCTAAACGAGTCTCTTTATCATCTTGGAAATAAATGTTATTTTCCCTTTTTTGCCTCTTCAAGTTTGTCTATAATGGCCTCAACTTTTGTTAGTATGATTAAACGAGTCAAAGAACCGATCAAGAATGTTATGCTATTATGTAATTCCTAACAACCAACAAGGACAAAGAGGCCAGAAACTTCCAGATTGCACATATAACTTTTCTTTCTCTAAATGTGTGTTGAACTGCAGACCCACCCAACCCAAACTAAAGTATACAATTTTTTCAAAACAAATCATTTATAATATATCATAATTTGTGTGTTTTGTCTGTTCTTTTTGGGTGCGAATTACACTGATTTAGCTTGTGCGTTGCTGGACGACTTCTCTCACCGTGACATATCAACAGGTAAAAGCCCCAATGCACTCATGGCAAAGTTCTTTTTGGTTCTTCACTTGAGGTTAAAAAGTTCTTGTTTTTTTTTTTTCAGTGACTGAAAACACACCTGCAAACGGATTTTTGACAAGTAATACCATGAACGCACAGTGTCACTAAATGTGAAACAAAAATGCAGCGTCACCTTACGGTAAATGATCATTGTTTGTCATTTGCAGAGGTTTGGAATTTCTTCCGCCATGGTTCGAAGTCTGCAGCCGCCCCGACTGACTCGCAAAGTCATGGTATATACAGTACACACACACACACACACTCACAAATGTCAGTGGAAATGGAATGGAACACATTGCATGATACAACATTGCACGTGTGCTCTATTTTATACTTAACATTTTGACAAATGTAGTACGTAATGAAATTCATTAGATTTTATTTGATTTATTTTAAAATACTTTATGCACATATTAAACAATATAATTTTGTGTGTTCAGCTGCTCCTGATCCCCAGAAAGACTTGTTACTGAATGCTCATATAACTGCAACTGCAGACCCGTTACTCCAGCTGGTTTCTCTCCAAAAGGCGTCAGGCTGCTGGGATCTGGACGTCACACTGGCTGATGCGTTTGGGAAGACGGAGGATGAGCTGACCAATCAAAAACCAGCACAGGTGAGAGATGATGAATAATAAGACAGCGATGATTGTGTCCAGTAACTAATGCAGTGTATGATGGTTTGTACACAGGTGGAGGGGTCAGTATGGGCCACTCTCCTGGCTCTGATCTGGTTATACGGCTGTAAAATAGACCAGCGGGTCGAGTGGCAGTTTGTGGCCATGAAGGCAGCGTCATGGATCAGCTCTCAGAAAGGTGAGATCTCCATTCCAGACCACATTCACTCAGTCAGCGTTCATCAAATATCTGCAGTTCTTGATGATTCGAGTGTGTGTGTTTCAGTGGGCGATCTGTCTGAGTGTGTGTGTGTGGGTAATGCCCTGCTCGGATGTCAGGTGACCAAAGAGACTCTGGGAATCTAAAGACATCAGTGTTTCTACTTCCTGTGCCGTCAGTAGACGAATCAACTGTTACAGTTTCATTTACTGTTTTTCCTTTACTTGTTTCTTTAAGGTTTAATCAATTTAATTTGTTCAAATCAACACCGATTTGTAAAAATATGTGAGTGACCTGCTTGAGTTTTATGTACCAAAGTAAAAGTAGTTTTGGCTTTCTTATATAATTTTCCCCCCAAGATACAGTCATTTAAATGGATCAGGTCTAGGGTTACCTACTGTCCCGAATTAGGCGTACCGTGTTTTGGGCCTAATTTATTTGTCTTGTATGGGACCCCGATTAAATAGACTGCTACGCTGATCTAACCACTGACTGATACAACAGCAACACGGCACTTGAGAATGATTACGACTCCATTTATCATCCAATCACAGGCCACTCTCACGCGCTTCAGACCAAACAAATAATATCAAACTCTAAATTGAGAATTAATTATTCTTGTGGGACAAATCATTGTTTGATTTGCGAACAGAAGCATCTGCTGTCTAGTCGCTCCCGGTTCAATCCGGACTCACGTTAACGGCAAATCCCTTCTACTATTCGGCTGGGTTTTGATTTCAAATCAGTTTTGGTGAAATCAGACAACGTGATTATTGTTCATGAGTTCAACATCCAGCCATGCAAGAAAACATGAAATCTTCCTGAGGAAATAATATGCTGATGTGATTTGCTGCCCATTAAACATTTCTGAATATTATTAATGTTTGTTTTTTAAATTCTATGATGAATAGAAGGTTCAGAGTAAATTTACCCAAAATAAAAAAAAAACAATAAAAAAACACTTTTGTAACATTATAAATGTCTTTACTGTCACTTTTTAATTAGGCTAGCTACTTTAATGTGTCCTTGCTGAATAAAAGTAGGCTATTACTTTCTTTAATTTCTTTGTATGTAGTGCATGTATAATGTTTCAAAAGATTTCCATTTCAGACAAATGCTAATATTTTGAACTATTTTTTGTGTCTAATGTGACTTTTTTGTGTGACCTTAAAATTAGTTTTAGAATTAAATTGTACATAAATAGTTTAAGCAAGCGAGAACTGAGAACCTTTTAAGCACATACAAACCTGAAATGACATACTGTGTGATAGGCTTCAGTGGCCTACAAATATTTTGAGTGTCCCTTATTTTCCTGTAAAGAACCACGATTGTCTCGCATTTTTCTTTTTAAGTTGGCAACCCTAATCAGGTCACACATAAAAACGGTTCTGTTCTGTGTTTTTGCGGTTTTGAAAATGAAAATAATTTGAATCAGATTTAAAAAAGTGTTTTAAAAAGACGAGTCCTGTTGGTTCTGTATGATCATTTCAACTCTCTTAGTGTATTAGCCAAGTAATAGTGTAGTAATAGCATAGGTTATTTGCTCATGTTTGCTTTGCTGTTATTTATTTATCTGAATGCCTGTAATCAGGCAAAACAGAAGAGACTATTTATCATATAACACAAACAATGCATTGTTTTAAACATCTAAACGGTTGCTGTTTATGCTTAACATTGACACTTTTATTACCATTTCAAAATAATCCATTAAATCCACAAGGGTGAGAAAATTATGGCAGAATGTTCATTAAGGGCTGAACTATCCCTTTAAAGAAATGTTCATTGAAAAAACCTAAGCTCTTTTATTCTACAAGATAAACTTGTTACTTGAAAAGTATTTTGACAGAAAATGAACTGAGATGTTGTCCTATTTCTACCGCTTTCTTTTTTTAAATAATAATCTTTTAATATATTTTTGTCATTGATTGAATAAAATAAATTGACATTGTAACATTGATCAAACCATTACCAAAAATTATTTCTTGTTAATTTAAGAACTGATTCAACAGCAGTGATGTAGATTTAACATCATAGTGTAACGTTGATTGAACAATATTACTATTGATTATTTTTGTTAATTTCAATATTGATTCAGCATTAGTGATGTAGAATCAATCATATTGTAACATTGATTCAATAGCATTACCATTGTTTTGTTGTTGTTGTTGTTGTTGTTTTTTTGTTGTTTTTTTCAACATAGTTTCACCATTAACTGAGGGTGCAAAAATGATGTTGATTAAATATCACTTTGTAATGTTAATTCAATACAATTGGGCTACTGTTGATTTTTGGTTGAAATCTCAACATTGCTTCACCATTAACCGGTCGTGCAAGTGACGTTGCAACAATATGACTTTGTAATGTTGAAGCAATATTAATAGCCTACTCTATTGATTTGTGGTTGAAATCTGAACATTATTTCAATATTAACTGAGGGTGCAAGAGTGATGCTAAATCATCAACATCACTTTCTAACGTCATATTTCAATGTATTCAGCATTGACTCATCAACACTGACTCAACATTGTTTCAATGGTTGCATGCTATGTAGGCGGCGAGCTACATAGGCCTACCGTGCACCCCCCCCCCCCCCCCCCCACCTCCCAACAAAACCATACTTTTTTGAAAGGTCTGGATGTGTAGAATATGAATCTGAATGTTAACATTGAAAATTTTGGGTTGCACTACCTGTTTTAGGCCTGTGAATAGGGAAACCCTAAAAACGTTTTTAAGCGATTTTAACATTTCAAGATTGGCCTAGTCAATCAGAACAGCTTTTAAGGGACCCAATACACACTCAAACTTAACATATGATGACTTAGGTCAAATATCTACCATGCTGCTTATTGGTAGGTGTCTAAAATTAACATAGTTAAGGCTTTATGTTGACATTATGAGCCCATTTCATGCATAGGCCACGACCATTCGCCTATCATACACCCCAACCCCCTCCCCTGACAAAATCATGCTTTTCTGAAAGGTCTAGATGTGTAGAATATTAATCTGAATGTTAACATTGACATTTTGGGGATACACTACCTGTTTTAGCCCTGAATAGGGAAACTCACTACACTCACTACTACTACACTATACATTGATAGTTACTTTAAATAGTTGTTTTTAATTATTTTTTATTTAATATAGTTAAGGCCTTGTATGGATATAGTCGATCAAGGTCCATTTCTATAGTATCAGTCAACATGCTAACATTCTAACCCTCATTACCCTTTCCATCAAAGGGGTATGGCTCACAAATCATTTCATTGACAAATCAGAAACCTGTCTGGGTTGTTCATCCAATGACAAAATAAGATATTTGTTGAATTTTCATTAATAGTTTCCTCTGTGTCAGACAGGTATATAAAGATTGTCCTGAAAGACTGTTCTTACTCACACAGACAAGATCCTCCAAGTCTGCATCCTCTGCCTATACAGCTAGAAATTTGTTTCACTGAATTGCTCAATGTTTGATATTTTGGTTTACAATTTAATATAATTGACCCGTCTTACTACACTACATTGATGCTTACTTTTACTTTTAGCATCAACTACATTGATGCTTACGTTTTTAATTATTTTAAATGACATTTGATAGATTTATAGACATATAGCTGTATAGACGTGAGATTAGCTGGACCACTGGAATCTGCTCACAGAATGACTGTAACCTGTGAACTTATACCAGACACCATTACAGAAGCTAAATACCACAAATCCTGTAGAGTCCAATACACACTAGGGTGACCAACTGTCCTGTTTTCCCAGGACATGTCCTGTTTTCTTATAACAATATGACAATTTTCTATTGATACAGAGGAGGCATAACCTACTTTAAATGTATTGAAATTAATAATGTATCTTTGAGTAAACTTTAAGTATCATTTGAGTAGGCCCATCTGTTTGCCGGGCCGAGTGTCCTGGTTTTTGGTAATCAAAATATGGTCACCCTAACTGTATAATATGCACAAAATTTAGAAAAATGGAGAAGTGCAAGCACAGAAAACAAGGCCAAACAAATCCAACTAGTAGAAGCTCACGGTGAGGCATTTGGTGCTGTATCTCGAGTAATTGACAAGGAAATCATCGGCAGCAAGAAAATGATGAAATTGACTGATATGACCAAAATCGACATAGCTCATCTGCAATGCACAAACTTCCCCAATCCCAAAATCCCAATCACATGAATATTGTAATTCCATCTAACTTGGATACAGCACCAAATGCCTCACCGTGAGTTTCTACTAGTTGGATTTGTTTGGCCTTGTTTTCTGTGCTTGCACTTCTCCATTTTTCTAAATTTTGTGTATATTGGACTCTACAGGATTTGTGGTATTTAGCTTCTGTAGCAAATAGATCCTTTCCTCTAATTCTGCAAAACAAATTTTCATCAAAGTTTTGTTCTGAACCTGGGTTTTGATCCTGGGTTCTCCCAAGGTTTTTTTTCTCCATCCAATCTGATGGAGTTTTGGTTCCTTGCCACTGTCGCCTTACTTTTGGCTTGCTTAGTCGGGGATATTTAATATTCAACAATATATTTGATCTGTGTTGTACTACTTTTATGTTATCACTGTGAAGCTGATTTGATGCAATCTATATTGTGAAAAGCACTATATAAATAAATGTGACTTGACTTGACTTGACCAGTTGAGGCCCTCTGACTTTGCCTTGAACTTGCTGCTAATAGTTCAGGCTTCTGGTCGAGTCTTTTGAGATTCATGGTGAATCTTTGTTAGCATTTTCTGTGATATCCATCACTTTCTGTAATGGTGTCTGGTATAAGTTCACAGGTTACAGTCATTCTGTGAGCAGATTCCAGTGGTTCAGCTAATCTCACGTCTCTTATTTCTTTCATTCTGGCTAATCTTGCATCAGAATCTGCTTTTGCCCATAATTGCACGAGTGGTCCATATACAAGACCAGGGACATGCACAATGCATCTGGACTTTGGTTTTGTCCCATGACATCCCCTTTGCCTTGAAGGACCTGCGGTCCTGGCCCACTGACTCATGTCTTGACTCAGACATAACTGAGCAGTTCAGCTAAAAAAAAAGGTTCTTCAGGGGTTCTTTGCGGTGGTCATGGTCCTATATAGCACCACTAAGCCCAGTTTGGTTCTTCAGCGGTTCTTCAGTGGTTCTCTGGGTAGGTTAACATGCTCTATGGCACCTCTTATGGTTCTACATAGCACCATATGACAAAGATAAGTGCTATATGGCACTTAAAGTGGTTCCCCTATGATTACAAGCCAATGAACCCCTTTTAGTGCTATTTAGCACCATTTTTTTAGAGTGCATGTTGAAGAAACCAACTACATAACCGACTAGATTATCTATGTTTATGAGATATGTGTATGTGTGTGCGTGTGTGTGTTTATGTATAAGCTACTGGACGTCTAAAATTTCCCTTTGGTATGAATAAAGTAGGCTATATATCTATTAATCTATCAAATGTCGAAAAAACGTAAGCATCAATGTAGTTGATGCTAAAAGTAAAAGTAAGCATCAATGTAGTGTAGTAAGACGGGTCAATTATATTAAATTGTAAACCAAAATATCAAACATCGAGCAATTCAGTGAAACAAATTTCTAGCTGTATAGGCAGAGGATGCAGACTTGGGGGATCTTGTCTGTGTGAGTAAGAACAGTCTTTCAGGACAATCTTTATATACCTGTCTGACACAGAGGAAACTATTAATGAAAATTCAACAAATATCTTATTTTGTCATTGGATGAACAACCCAGACAGGTTTCTGATTTGTCAATGAAATGATTTGTGAGCCATACCCCTTTGATGGAAAGGGTAATGAGGGTTGGAATGTTAGCATGTTGACTGATACTATGGAAATGGACCTTGATCGATTGTATCCATACAAGGCCT